CCAGTAATTGGGATGGCAAAATGTACAAGTAGAGGAGTCTAAGAAACACCTATTGGCTGAATGGATACAGAATTGATTAATGGTGGATAAGACTGCACACCATGTGCTGTGGGTAACAGGTGGCTTAAAAAGGGGCAATTTTAATGGAACTATTAATTTCATTGCAATAACACACCATCATGTTTGGGATTATACTCCGTATCAATCATGTGCTGATGATAAGAAAAATTATATCCCCTAATGAATCAAAGATCCAAAGAATGTTCTAAATGGAATATTCAAAAAATATATTTCTCAAGACATTTGTTTTTATTGGGTTCTCTGTTTGGCAGTGTCTCTCTCCCCCCCTCCTTTTTCCAATCACTCAGTGCAGTGGGGTATGGGTTATTATTAGCCAGCAGGGGGCATATAGCCACTCCTTGCTTTACTTCAAAACCATTGGAATGGGAAAATAATATATTAAAAGACAACTGTCACCTCAAAACTATTTTTAAGATAATAATCACTTCATCAAGTATTGAAAGGAAATATTTTTAAAATGAAGTATGTGGCGGTGCCTGCACAACACCAGCGGCTTAACTGTTGCAGGACACAAAATTACAGCTTCTACAATAGAGCTGAACATACTTTGGCTTTTCCCTACCCTCTCCAAGCACCTACAGTGCTGAGTTCTCCTATCCATATCAGCAGGGACAGGCTGGGCCGGGGGGCAGGGAGGCAATTGCCCCCCAGGCCGCCCTAAAATTTTTTAAGACTGTCCGCTGCAGGGACGGCCCTTTAAATGCTGCAGCCGCCTGAGCGCTCTGTTAAGAGCCTCAGTCGGCTGCAGTTGCTTCTCTCCTCACCTCCCCTTCCCTGTAGCATGGCCAAGCTCCTCTCCGGTCCGCGGTGCCCGGCCGGAGTGATAGGAAGGTGCACACTGAGTGTGCACTTCCTGTCAGTCCAGCCGGGTACAGGAAACAGAAACTCCTGTTCCGCGCGGAGTTTCTATTTCCTGTAACCGGCCAGACTGACAGGAAGTGCACACTCAGTGTGCACCTTCCTATCACTCTGGCTGGGCACCGTGGACCAGGGAGCTCGGCCACGCTACAGGGAAGGGGAGGTGAGAGGAGGGAAAGAAGAGGAGGAGAGGAGGGTAAGAAGAAGGAGGAGAGGAGATAGGAAGGAGGGAGTAAGAAAGAGGGGAGGGGAAGAAAAGGGGAGTAAGAAAGAGGGGGAGGGAGTATCAAGGAGGGAGATAAGAAAAAAAGGGGGATAAGAAGAAAAGAAGGGGTGAAAGAAAAAGAGTAAGATGAAGAGTAGAAAGAAGAGGGATAAGAAAGAAGAAGGGGGTAAGAAAGAAGAAGAAGTAAAGAAAGAAGGAGTAAGAAGAAGGGGTAAGAAGAAGAGGGGAGTAAGAGAAGAAGAAGGGTAAGAAAAAGAAAAGAAAGAAGGAAGAAAGAAGAAGGTAGAAGAAAGAAGAAGGAGGAGTAGAAGAAGTAGGAGGGGGTAGAAGAGGGGGGTAAGAAGAAGAAGAGGGGGGCTAAGAAGAAGGGGAGCAATAATTAGAAGGGGAGTAAGAAGAAGAAGGGGAGTAAGAAGAAGGGAGTGCAATAAGAAGAAGGGGGGGAGAAAGAAGAAGGGGATAAGAAGAACAGGTGGGGGAGTAAGAAGAACAAGGGGGGTAGTAAGAAGAACAAGGGGGAAGTAAGAAGAACACGGGGGGTGAGGAGAACACATGGAGGGGGGGAGAGTGAGAAGAACACAGGGAGGGTGGGTGAGTGTGAGAAGAGACCACTAGGGGAGGGTGGGGGGGAGCTCTAAGGGACAGAAGGGACAGCTCTATAGGACAGGGGGCAAGACAGGGAGCTCTTTCCCACTACGCGCACACAATGCACCCCTACACACACAGAAACACAACATGCTTCCCTTACACACAAACACACAATGCATCCATTACACACACACACAATGCAACCCTTACACACAAAGACAATGCATCCTTTGCACACATACACAGAAACACAAAATGCAAACCCTTACACACACATGCAAACACATACACTGCTTTTCTTACATACACACAGAAACACAATGCATCTCTTACACTCAATGCACACACATGTAGACACACACCTTGCATCCCTTATGCATACAAACACAGATTCACACAATGCATCCCTTACACACAACCAGAAACACATAATACATCCCTTATACACAAATACACACTGCTTCCACTACACACAAACACACTGCATCACCTACAAAAACTGGTATCCCTATACACTACATACCATAAGCACACCAATTAGATCCTCTACAATAACACACTCCACTCCCTGTAAGCAAACTCATGGGTGGGTGGAATATATAAGTGGACTTATGAGTGGGCCTTATGGGCATACTCACCGTCAGGCCCTGGGGCCCAGACCTTGAGCCGTGTAAGGGGACCCCAAAAAATGTAGCTGCTTCCAATTCTTCCAGAACATTGAATTTTGTGACCACAGTTGCAAACAGCCTCCATATATCCTGTTCTACACCAGACCAGTGGAGCCAAACTGCAGCCCATCATCATCCTCATCTGGTTGTAAGTAGGCAATCTAGTATATTATTAGTGACACTGATCTATAATTTACCTCACATTAAAGGGACACTATAGTCCCCAGAACCACCATAGCTGGTCCCTGCAGGCTTTTTAATGTAAACACACACTGTGTGCAGCACTGGCGTTAGTTCATATGGCAGATCATATGGGTGGGGCATTGTGATATCACATGGGGGCGGCAAATTTTTCTTTTGTCTAGGGCGGCAAAAATCCTTGCACCGCTCTGATCCTGGGCAGGTGCACCAGTCTACTGGTGACCCACAGGAGGGGAGTGCACTGATTGCACTGCACTCTCCTCCTGCCCAGACCCGTCTTTACCGCAGTGCAAGTGCCCTCTGCCCCTAATTTACAGTGGCTCACACTCACAACAAGCACTGCCTGGAGACCTTTGCAGAGACGGGAACAAAGAGGTTCTGCGGCAGCTGGCCGTCCTGCAAGCATTACATTAAACAGCTGTTCCCCATGCTGCCACAGGTGGCGCTGTGCTTGGAGAATGTGATTACTCTTCACTTCCTCCCAGCCTACAGAGCAGCGCATGGGAGAGAGAGAGGAGGAGGCATGATTTAATCTTACAACAAATCCACTAAGCAAATCTTTATAAATTTGGGGGGATCAGCTCTGTTTCCACAGTTTATTGGTGTTTACTCTGATGTCTGTATTAATATTGAGGGATGTCTAAATAGTAACGTCAGTGTGTGTCAGCAGGGCCAGCCGTTGGGGTGTGCAAGCAGGGTGCCATGACAGCAGAGGCGCCCAGCGGCCAACACAGCTCACAAGTTGGGTACACCAGCATATTCAATTTAAACGATTCGCTGGTGCTCCACTGGTGCGCACCAGCAGTAGGTGCAGTCAGATCATATCCTCTCCCTTGTGGTTCCGGCGCTCAGTTAGTGAGTCAGAGCACAGGCTCAGAGATTCTCAGCCTGCTCTCTAACAACATTGAAAGTCAGAGCCGTGAAGGAGTGGGTATGGCAAAGAGCTACTGATTAGCATAACATCAATATACGTTAGAAAAACAGGAAAAGGTGGGCATGGATGGTGAACTGATTTGGTGGTGCAATGGGCCACTTTACTGGTTTTGCCCCCCAGGCCTAAGCCTGCCAGCCCTCCCCTGCACATCAGCCAGGTCCAGTGCGGCTGCCCGGTGAAATTAACGGCCACTCCTACTCCCTCAATTTAACATCAGGGAGAGCACTTTTTGGAGGGGAGGTAGGGAGAAGGACAGTAATCAATCGCTCACCAACAGACAGTTTCAATGACCGGCACATAGCCGCAGCAGCTTGGAGCTCAGGGCCAGACTGAAAATAAAAATTAACCATGGAAAATTTTATACTAGCTCTATCATTAACTGAGCCAGTTAGAATAGATATACAGGTGAAAAACCCCCCAAAAGATTTACATTTTTTTAACCAACAAGAAGACACGCACTCACAGGACCTTAAAGTGTTAAAAACACATATAGGGTCCCTGCATCCGTATGCTATTCCTGTTCTATGCTATTACTGCAATCCACTCCATGTAGTCTCTACACAAACATATACTGCCTTGCTTACACAGCAACAGCAGATCTATAAAGTTCTGATGTCACTAAATAAGAAAAACATTCAATTTTATACAAATATATTTAAGGACCAAATCATTGACATGTCAACGTAGGCTTTCATGGGTGATTAAAGGATTAAAGGTTTCTATATCACACTGTCCTGCTCTCTGTTTCATTTTATGACCCACAAATAAGAAAGTCATGCAAGCGCTAAACTAAAGTAGGTTTCAGATTGCTCTGAGTGTTTCTGTACTAGTCAACAGTCACGTGAGAAAGATCACCAATACTATTGTGTAATTCTGTATGATTGGTTTTAAGGAAATATTATATAGGTGACATCACTTTTAATTGTAAAAGTGATGGTAGGAGCAGCACTCAATCCCAGCAGCCACCCGGTGCTCTGGAGCAGGACCAGCAATCCCACAACGATAATACAACTGAATAAATTCTCCGGGGGGGTGGGGGGGGGCGGGCCGCCAAGCTGAACGGTCGCAGGAAAGATCAGCTCCTGCAAACAACGATCCATTAAGCCTGTAAAACGTGATTTTCTACAAATTAAACCACCAACCACTGTGACCCTCGGTGTGCAAGGGCCACCGGAACCGAGGAGAGGCTTGCTCCCGGAGTTCTAGTCCCTCAAAGGGGAGATCTCTGCTGAATCAGGTGGGACCTTGCCTGGCGGTGAGTGGAGTGGATGGCTGCTGTTCCACTATCCTGCCTAACGATGCCCGACAGACACGCTGAACCTATGCGGACCTGGTCCTGATCCCCCCCCTCTCTAAACCGGGGGGGACGGGGGGTGACCCCAGTCCTCAACCCACAGCCACACTCGGAAGCAACACCAGGCCACTAAGTAAGCCCAAATCTAAGATGTCGGAGGCCATGTGTGAAAGAGCTGACTCACAGAGCCCGAAACAGACCACTGATCCAGACTGGCCAGACACGCATAGCAACCAGCAACAAGTAAGCATTGCGGGGCCCCAATTAGACACTTGCCTTCAGAGGCAGACGGGAGAAGAGGAGGGGAGTCACCAAACAAATGGCGGCACCACAGCAACTGACACCGGCGCCCTACTCCGAGCTACCTACTCTCAGAAAGAGTCAGGGGGCCGGAACCCAGGGCACAGCGCTGCGTTCCCCTCCAGCCTATCAAACGGCATCCCCTGCCCAGCAGTACTAAAAACGCGACACAGCAGGACCGTGAAATAACCACGGAAGGCGCAAAACGAGCTGCAACTCAAGGGGACAATAGGCAGACATGCCTCACTAAAACCACCATGCAACAGAACAAAAGAGAACTGAACCTCGCTCATGTACCAACCTCATGGAGCATATCCAAGATGCAGCAGCACACCAGCTCACGCCTCAGGACTCTCCCATGCCCAGCCGAAGCCACGGTACCACATATACCAAACCCAGTTGTCTTGGGCCGGCTGAATGACACTAGGAGATGTTGATTACACTTTGCCTGATGCAATGTTTATGTCCTTCTTCTTGTGTTGGTGTAACCTGAGCGATTGGGTATTGTTGTTGTTTTTTTTTGTTTTTTTTCTTTCTTCTTCTCCTTATTCGCTTTTCTTGCTGCTGACGATCTCCTCCATATCCACACACAATAGACACGTCCTCTCACACGCACACAGAATGGGGGGTCTCGTCTACTCCAAACGCCTGAACAAGACACATGTTACCTGAACACTTTACACTGCACGCATGCATAGGCTCCTGTTTTTTGTGTTTCTTGTGACTCGGAGTGAATGGCTTAGACTAATGACTCACTCTAACTGATAACAGCATGTTTTCAAAAACAACTTCAGCTCGACTATCCTTCACGTCACTAAATAAAAAATGTGCAATGTATATTCCTGTCATGCCTACCAACTAGATGATTATTGTCTAAACGCGAGTATATGCTGTTGGGGCATTACAGAAGCAATTGTAACTGCATGTTCCTTGCACACAAAAATAAAGAATATAAAAAAAAATAAAAAATGTGCCAATATCTAAAATGTCACACCACTGTTCATCAACTGTATGCCATGATTATCCCTGTCATTGCTGTTGTGGCACGACAAGCTTGTGTTATTACATGTGCACAATAAAAATAAAGAATTTCAAAAAAAATTAAAAATTTAAATTCTCCAGGCACTCCAAGTGTTGAAGCCGCTGGCAGTTTTAATGGAACAAAAAGATCAGCAACGTTTCAACCTGCTAAGAGGTCTTTGTCAAGCTTCAAAAAGACCTCTTAGCAGGCCGAAACGTTGCTGCTCTTTTTGTTCCAATAAAACTGCCTGTGGCTTTATTACCTTGAGTGCCTGGAGAATTTCTTGTGTTGCCTTATCACTTTTAATTGTGCCACTTTTGTTTTGAACTCACTAATAGCCTTATTAATGTGGTTTTAGCTATTTTTATGATGTCAGGGTTATGTTTAAATTATATCAGAATGATTAGATCATCATTTAAAATGGCACTCTCCTAAAAAAAAGGTTGTGCTTTTGTTTTTTGTTTAATTTATTTCTGACTTATGCTTTCTGCTTTGCAAACATGTCCCTCACACTTTGTACAGTAACCTCTAAAAGTCCTCATAGTGCCACATATTACAAGCCATGCAACCAGTGTGGGATCTTATGCTTTGTATTATGGGAGTAAATAACTATGCAAGCATCCAACGGGGTAGTTATGTTTATGTTGACAGTAATAGATATTATAGAGGTTAGGTAAAACACAGTCCAGAGGTACTGTATAATCTATGCATTTTCCCATACCTCCTAACATTTCAAATGGAGAAACAGGTGACACTTTAATTTTAGGAATGTGAGTGAATGTGAGTGGGGCTGTGATCAAGTCAGAGAGGGGCTGTTCTGAAAAACAACATATTAATTTATGCAACAACTGTAAATTATCATTTTGAACAAGACCACTATCTTATTTACACAGACTGATTTCTCAACACCTTTATTGTAGTTCAATTACACATTACTGAGAGTATTATTGCTGTGGAGGCCTGTTACACACTCAGATACACCAATAACATGGAGCATCTAAAAAATAGGGACATTAGGATAGAAAAGGATAGATGGATTTGGGCCCAAAATAGGAAATATCTCTCCTAAATGAGTACAATTGGAATTTTCCAGTAATTGGGATGGCAAAATGTACAAGTAGAGGAGTCTAAGAAACACCTATTGGCCGAATGGATACAGAATTGATTGATGGTGGATGAGACTTAACACCATGTGCTGTGAGTAAGATGTGGCTTAAAAAACGGCAATTTTAATGGAACTATTAATTTCATTGCAATAACACACCATTATGTTTGGGATTATACTCTGTATCAATCATGTGCTGATGATAAGAAAAATTATATCCCGTAATGAATCAAAGATCCAAAGAATGTTCAAAAAATATATTTCTGAAACATCTGTTTTTATTGGGATCCCTGTTTGGCAGTGTCTCTTTTCCCCCCTACTGTCTCCCCCCCCCCCCTTTTCCAATCACTCAGTGCAGTGGGGTATGGGTTATTATTAGCCAGCAGGGGGCAGATAGCCACTCCTTGCTTTACCTCAAAACCATTGGAATGGGAAAATAATATATTAAAAGACAACTGTCACCTCAAAACTATTTTTAAGATAATAATCACTTCATCAAGTATTGAAAGGAAATATCTTTAAAATGAAGTATGTGGCGGTGCCTGCACAACACCAGCGGCTTAACTGTTGCAGGACACCAAATTATAGCTTATACAATAGAGCTGATCATACTTTGGCTTTCCCCTACCCTCTCCAAGCACCTTCAGCACTGAGTTCTCCTATCCCAGGCCTCAAAACTGTTCCAGGAAACGGGACAGCTGCAACCCTTACATCGGACCAAGGCGTCAATTTCGTGGAACTCCACATCAGCCTGGTCCAGTGTGGCTGCCCAGTGAAATTAACAGCCACTCCTGCTCCCTCAATTTAATATCAGGGAGAGCACTTTTTGGAGGGGAGGTAGGGAGGACAGTGAACAATCGCTCACCAACAGACAGTTTCAATGACCAGCACTTAGCCGCGGCAGCTTGGAGCTCAGGACCAGACTGGAAATAAAACCCACCATGGAAATTTTTTTATACTAGCTCTATCATTAACTGAGTCAGGTAAAATAGATATACAGGTGAAAAAACAAACAAATGATTGACATTTGTTTAACCAACAAGAAGACACGCACTCACAGGACTTGAAGGACCACTATAG